GTGAGCGCGGGGAGCGGGCGCGCAGGATGGGCGCCGGGTGCCGTGCGCGGGGAGGGCGACCGGGAGCCGGCTCCGCGATGGCGAGGGGAGCGAGGTCACCGCGCGGTCCTTTCGGCCGGAGAGCGCTGGATGTGTGAGCCAGAGAAGGGCACCCAGGACGTCGGTAGCTTGGTGGAAAAGCTGAGACGAGCTTCCCGGAGCTGCGGGCCCGGACTGCAGGGACGCAGAAAAGCGGAGTGGATGGGTAAATCTGAGGTGCTGCCTGGCCGCTCGATGGGGCTTGGTGTCTGGACTTTGCTTTCTAGGAACTGTGTACCCTCACCCGCGCCAGGCCACCCCTCAGCTGAAGATCAGTGCCCCAGATCCTTTAGCGAGGCGGTAGCTGGAGTCGGGGACAGCAGAAGAGGACCGAGCTAAACTCACCTGGCATACGGCGAGGATGGCTCGTCGGCTATTTTTGGTCAGTCCTGACCAAGGTGGGTGGTCAGGTTCAGTCTGCTCCCTCTTGGCGTTTCAGGGCTACGGGACAGAATGCCATCCCAACAGTCTCACCTTGTGATCCGCAGGGCCGGTTAACCAGGCAGTTTTCTTCTGCTCTGGGTTGTGAGTTCAGTGTTAAGGATCGAGCGTGTGCCTGGGCCTGGGTTCTCCAAGTGGTTAAATAGCTTGCGTGTCCAGAAGGACTCTGATCGTGATTCGGTGAGGGGCCGAGTGCTCTCCCACAGCCTAAACGGAAGGGCGGGATCCTTCTTCCCAGCAGCCTGGATCTAGATTTGTGACTTTAGTCCTCTCTTCCCAGGTACCCCTGCACCCCCAGTTGGGGTAGGCGGAGCCTGCTGGGGGGTGATGATGCTAGCCGGCGGTGGGGACTGATCTGGCGGTGGCTGTCCTGGCTTCTGCTCTGGCTGTACTCCTAACTTCCTCTGCGACCTTGGAAAGAGCTCAGATCAGTACTAAGGTCAGATGGATCTCTTGGGCACAATCTATACAGTTCTGTAATGTTTACCTCTAAAACTAGAAACTGAGGAAGATCTCATCTCCCCGATGAAACCAAAGAAGGAATGTTGGGAATCCCAACTTTTAGCAGCTAGAATTAGAAGCCTCCTGTTGGAGGCCCAGGTGTGATTCTCATCACCGGGGCGGTAGTGGTCATCTTCCTGCACCGGCTTTGCATGTGTGACTAGGGCCACAGCGGACCCGGAGACTCTGAATATTGTTTCTTCCTCCTGAAGCATTAGGCCAGAAGGCTTCTTCCTGGTTAATCTGGCTTTTGTTACTCACCTGGCCTCTGGGTGAGTAAAAGGCAGAGGGAGGAGATGAGCCAGCCCTCTGCTGGCTAAGAAACCCAGTAACCCAAGGGGTGGGAGTGGCCACTTTATTGACCTTGGGGGGCTTTGGGGGGCAGTACTGGGGATTGAACTCAAGGCCTTTGCACTGAGCTACATCCCCATGCTTTCTTTCTTCCTTTTTTTCTTTATTTATTTGTGATACAGCAACTTGCTAAATTGGGCTTGAACTTAATGATCCTCCTGTCTCAGCCTTCCAGAGTGCTGGGAGATGTATGCCATCATACCCGGCTGGCCTTGTCCTGTAGGCAGGAGAAGTAAGAATCGGTGCTCCTTGAGGTACCAGAGCTCCTTGACTCTGAGCACAAATCCAAACCCAGTGTTGTCCCAGGGAGGAGAGCCAACACAGATGCACAGTGGCTGGTCTGTGGTCCGGGGGCCGCTCTGTGCTGGCTCCTGCCCTTGTGGTGCAGACTCCTTGGGCTAAAAGGATGGCACAGATGAGAAGTAAAGTAGCAAGCAGCACAAGAGAGGCCTTTTTTCTGGGTTCATCTAGCTTCAGAGGACAGCGGGGGACTTTTGGTGGAGGGGGGACTTTTGAGCCAGGTGGGCCTGTGTTCAAGTCGCTATCCCCTCACTCTCCAGCAATGAGAAGCTGCCTGACCTCTGTGGGTCTGTTCTCAGTGCCCCATGGGGTGAAGGCCTGGTCTTCATCTTTGTGGAATGGAGTGATGATTTAGGGGTCCCCGAAGCTGATTAGGCTAGCTGGGCTGAGGGCTGGTGTGAGCCTAGCCACAGGGTGGATTCCTGTTCTCCTCAGCACTGTGGGCGCGGGTTCTCTACTTTCCCAGGGTCTGCGGGGTTTACCCCACAGACTCATTGGCCAACCTTAGGGCAAAAACATGTTCTTCCTTTTTAGTTCTGGAAACTCCTTTGAGTTCTTCAGGGAAGAAATATTCCATCTCGGGGCTGATGGTGTCTAAGAAAGATGTGCAGTGCCTATGCTGTGTGTGAGTGTGTGCGCGCGCGCTTGTATGCCCATGTGTCTACAGTATATGTCAGTCACTGGACTTTTCCTGTTTTCAAATGCATCCCGCCTGCTTCCTTACCTGCCCACACCTCTCGCTGGTCCAGGAGAGTTTCAGCATTGACCGACTCTTGGCATCTCAGTGGTGTGCTCTGAGCAGATGTGGATGCTGGGGAGTGGGACCGCCTCAGGTGCCGGAATAATTTGCCAGTTTGCACTTGACTCCTGGAGAAACTAGCTATTTTGCAGAAACACATGCTGGAGGGACTTTGCTTTAAAGCAAAGACACTGGGCTGGACATGTTGCATACCTGTGATCCTCCCTATTCAGGAAGCTGAGGCAGGAGGATCACAAGTTCAAGGGGCCCCCAAGTCACATTGCTTGCCCATGGCCAAGGGATTTGATGGGGAAGACCATCAAGACTGGCCGCAGTGTTTTCCTTGGACCACTGAAGAGGAGGCAGTCAATCCCTTGTCCCTATGCATATAGGCCACAGGGGATAGATGGATGGATGTCTCTCTGCCATGGGGGTTACTTCTGAGGGCATCTCCTCCTTTCCCTTTGCAGACTTCCCAAAGAGATGGGATGGTGCAGAGTGAGTGGAGAGAGGGCCCCCACCCCCAGATGTCGGCAGGTGACCCTCTGACCTGGGGCTGGATGCCAGGAGATAAGGAGTCCAGAGTCTGCTAGCTGGGGACTGCTGCCAGCCAGGGCCTCATGCTTGCCCCCAGGTGGGGGCTGCTGTCAGCCCCAGAGGGGCCCTAGTTGGGCACAGGCCAGAGGGGGATGAGGAGCCCCCCTGCTGAGCCCTCCAACCTGCATCAGGCCCGAAGCTGGGGGAACAGAGGAGCCAGGGAGCCTGGCCGGCCCAGCCCTGGGAAACTCAGTCCCTGCCTTGGCAACTGGAGATCTGACTGTTGTCAGCCTTCGAGCCTGCAGCAGCAGCAGCAGCAGCAGCAGCACAGCACGCGGCGCTGGGTGGAGGGAGAAGGTGACAGTGTAAAGTTTATTACTGTGGAGGGCCTGGAGGTTCTCAGTATCAGTAGTTAATTTTTTTTTTAATTTGGGAAATATTTTTTTATTTTTAAATTTTATTTAGTTTTAGTAGTTAATTTTTAAAAAGAAAAAAAGAAATCCATTACAAGTTGGGAATTAAAAAGAAAAATCATTTTAAGTAATTTATCTTTTAAAGGTACTTTTTTTACATTTTCATTGACCAAGACTTTTTTTTTTTTTCAGTGCTAGGGATCAAATCTAGGTCCCCACACATGCTAGGCAAGCGCTGTGCCCCTGAGCGATTATGTCCCATGCCCCTTTACCAGGTCTTTTGGTTTTGGGCCAAAGCCTTTTCTCTGAGTCTCTAGGTCCTCTAATTAGACTTTTAAAATTCTGTATAAAAATAATACCTGGGGCTGGGGATTTAGCTCAGCAGCAAAAGCACCTGCCTGGCAAGTGCAAGGTCGTGAGTTCGGTTCCCGGTACCTGAGAAAAACCAAAAAAAAAAAACCTATCTGAATCAGCTGTGATGCCAATTTTTTTTATTTTGTTAAACTTTTTCACTAGGTTCTATACTTACATAGTTAAAAAAATAAAATCAGAACTGGCCCCCTCCTTTTTATTTTTTTTTTTTTTATGTTTTGTAGGCAGGGTCTCATGTAGTTCGTGCTGGACTCACGGTGTAGCTCAGGCTGACCTCAAACTCATGGCAGTCCTCCTGCCTCAGTGTCCTGAGTGCTGGGATTACCTCAAACTTGCAGTGATCTTCCTGCCACCACACCTGGCTAGAGTAAATTCTGTGAAGTGAAATTGCTGGGTAAAAGGGTAAATACATCAAGCTTAATTGACCTTCATTTTTAAAAAAATTAATAGCACTTTTTTTTAGGTTTTCTTGAGACAGGCTCTTGTTCTATAGCCCTGAACTCACTATGTACCTCAGGCTGGCCTTGAACTTGCAGTGATCCTCCTGCCTCAGCCTCCCGAGTGCTGGGAATACAGGCCTGTGCCACCACACCTGGCCTTAAAAAAGAGAGAATTTAAGACATTTGCCAACAACATTTAGAACCCTACACATGTCTATGGGCATACTACCCTGAACATGCCTGATCTCATCAGATCTCAGAAGCCAGAATCCTACATATGCCTAATTTAATTGCAGTTCTTATTTTTTTTTTCACAAGTCTTTCTAGATTAATCATTCTCATGCTTTTTGGTACTAGGGCTCCTTAGTACTGTCCTTTCTTTATACGGCTACATCTGTTAATATTTACTATGTTAAAATGTCAAACTGAGAAATTTTTAAAAAGTGATGTATTAATTCATATAAAACAAAAAACAAGGCCACTACATGTTAACATATAAAACATTTTAGTTGAGTGTGGTGGTGCACACCTGTAATCCCAGCACTTGGGAGGCTGAGGCAGGAAGATCATTGCAAGTTTGAGGCCAACCTGGGCTACATAGTAAGTTCAGGGCCAGCCTGAACTGTCTAGTGAGACCTTGCCTAAAAAAAACAACAAACAAAAATCCCATTACTCTAAAATCAGACCCCCCCCATTCAAAGACCCAGTCAAAAAATGGGCATCTGAGATGAATATACATTTCTCAGATGAAGAAATACAAATGGCAAGTAAATACATGAGAAAATGTTCA